CCATTACATACGCTCATTTTATTAAATGAAAAAGCATATTGTGAGTCATCAGGAGGGGTGCTTTAGCAACACTAATCCACTACAGTGATGGTGGTTAACACTAAATTCAGTATTGCTGAAATGTGCCCACAAGAGCTTCTTATAGGGATGTTCTCAGGAGGCCTGAAAGTCCATGTTTGGGGATGTTACTCTCAGGCAGAGTTAAGATGCACCTTTTTCTTGGAAATGCCTCCCTCAATGCACCCAGTCACATAGTCACATGCCCCTGCAGCACTTACTGCACTATCTATTATGACTCTTACGGGCTTTCCCACCAGCTCTCTCACCCCTCTCCCCAGAGTCAGAACTCTGCTTCTGTAATATTTACTTATTTTACAACATTCACGGAGCTCTTTGATAATTATGCATTGACAAGTCTGTCTCTCCTACTGGACACTAAGAATGTGCAATTCAGGGCTGTTCAGCCTTGTGTACCCAGCACAGTGCTTGCTCCGTGGACTAAGTGCTCGTTAAGTTGGTTAGACTGAGTCAAGAGGTGACTGTGTCAGGCTTAGGACAAACACATGCTTAAGGTCTTCACATTCTCTTGAAATGAGACTCATTATAGTGATTCGTTTTTCATTTCTTTCTTTCCTTTTCTTTTTGAGGTGGAGTCTTACTCTCTCACCCAGGCTGGAGTGCAGCGGTGCCATGTCGACTCACTGCAATCTCTGCCTCCTAGGTTCAAATGATTCTCCAGCCTCAACCTCCCAAGTAGCTGGGATCACAGGCATGTGCCACCATGCCTGGCTAATTTTGTATTTTTAGTAGAAATGGGGTTTCACTATGTTGGTCAGGCTGGTCTCAAAATCCTGACCTTAGGTGATTCACCCACCTCTGCCTCGGAAAGTGCTGAGATATAGGCATAAGCCTCCATGCCCAGCCGCCTCTGGAACTTCTCACTGTCCAACTTCAAGTTAGGATTCCCATGACTCTCTCTTTGGGTTTGATTAATTTGCCAGAGAGGCTCACTGAACTCAGGAAAACACATTTACTGGTTTATTGTAAAGGATACTACAAGGGACAGAGTGAAGACATACATAAGGTGAGCTATAAGGAAGGAATGCAGAGCTTCCGTGCCCTCCGCAGGTGCAATACCCTCCAGGAAGTGACATGTGTTCCACAAGCTCTCCCAACTCTGTCCTCTTGGGCCTTTTATGGAGACTACTGGAAAGGCATGATTGATAACCATGTAGAAATGTGACTGACAAAAAGGGTATGATTGGGCGGAGAAACCCAGCAAGGCCTGTCTGTTCAGATCCTTCTGGCCTCTTTATGCAGCTTTCCTTCTTCCAGGGTTTGGGGCAGGGCCCCTTCTGAAATGGGAGTCTTGTGACCTACAATCAGACAGGGTAGGTCAGAGAATTTTTTACGGCCGGCTCCTATATAGCAAGGTGGGGAAGATGCCTGTCTTTGGGACAAAAAGGAGCAGGTGAAAGGGTATCAGGAGAAGGTCGGAGAGAGAGATTCTGTTTTCTGAGGCCTGCTCCTGAGGCCTTAAGGTGCCTCAACATTATAACAAAGGCTATGAGAGTTATGAGCTAGTAGCTGTGGACAAAAACCCACATGTATATACGTCATGATATCACAGATGGTAAGCATGGTTATTTTCTAATGTGTCTAATTTCCAGTATACTTTGTCCTGTTTCAGTCTTTAGTCTGTTTCGTCTCACTTGGTTTCCTCATGTGCTTAGTTATATTTAACTACCTGCTGGTCATTGTGTCTTATAAGTTATTTGTTAGAGTGTCAAGTCTTAGGATGAACCTAAGACACAGAGTTCTGTGTGTATTTTCTGGGATATGAAGAACAATTCCAGTCTGGGGCCTCCAGAACCAAGCAGGCTCACAGTTTGAAGTTCCCTGGCACACCCGGGTGTGAGGCTCAAAGGTTTATGAGCCTTATTTCATCATGGCCTGGTTTATGGACATTCTTTATCAGGATGGGTCTATTTTAAAATTTCCTTTTTCTTTTCTTTGATTTGGAACCACTCTGGCCTTCTCTGTAGCCCTGTAAGTTTGAGGACAGGCAGTTTTGATGCCTTTGGGCCTAGAATCTTGGCTCTGTTGTCCCCCTTTCCTGAGGCCACAGAATGGAAGCTGAGTGTACTTGAATGGCAGTTGGCTCTCACTTCTCTAGGTATCCCCCAAGATTGACACAGGAGTTCTTGTGCTCTTCAATTCTTCAGTCTTTTAAAGGTAGTCCCTCACCCCCCTCAAGAAGTATGTATTGTATCTAGGATTTTTCTTTTCCTTCCCTCCGTCCCTCTCTCTCCCTCCTTCTCTCCCTCCCACCCTTCCTCTCTGCCTCTGTCCCACTATCTCTTTTCTTCCTTCCCTCCTTCCCCTACTCTTTGTCTTCCCTCCTTCCCTCTCTCCTTTTATTCCTTCCTCCCCGTCCTTCCCTCCTTCCTTCCCTTCTCTTCCTCTCTCCCTCTCTTCTTGCTTTCTCTCTTTCTTTTCTCCTGCTTTCCCTCCTTTCCAGCAGGATAGTTCTGAATAACTTAGTCCACTAATCCTAGAAACAGGAGATCTAAAAATCTATTTAGAAATAGTAAATTATTAACAACTGACAGTAAGCCTTAAAATGGGTATCCCCTTTTGGGATTCTTTCAGACTTGTCAGTCAAGGCAGAGAACATAGACCATGAGTCAGTATAAAAATATGTCACTTACATATTTCCAGTAAAACGATCCTTAAAAATGTCCCACAATTATAAAACCTTTCCAAGAAATGAGTAACTTGAATGATTAGCCTAACTTACTAGAATTTATTCATTACACTTACCATCAAGATACTTCCTAAGGCAAGAAGCCAAACTTAAACTGGCTTAAGCCACAAAGGGTATTTGTTGGCTTGAATGGAAAGACTTGGGATGGAATACTTCAGGAACAGGTGGATCCAGGAATTCAAATATTATCATTAAGCATGGTGTCTGTTTGTCTGATCTGTGTTAGCTGTAGTCTCTGGCAAGCTCTCCTTTGGTGGTGCGATGGGTTTTAGGAACTCCAGACTCACAGTCTATGCTCGAAGGCAATGATCTCCAAACTTTGTTGATTATGTACCCAGTAATAAAAGTTGAGCATAATAGTCCCTGTGTGTATATATGTCTTTATACATGATATGCTACTCGATACTACTTTTATGTGTTATATAATGTATATTCTTTGTTATGTTGTACATACTGTAAGTTATATTGCTATGTTGTATGTATATTCTATGTTATACTAGTTATGGTGTTCAATTTTTAGTTTTTAATGTAAAGAATGAAATAAAAATACTAATATTTTTTATACTCCCAATGGATCGTTTTCTACAACCCACTTTGGGACTATAATAACAGTCCTGTGAACCACGTCTCATTGGTTCTTTTTAGGCCAGCTTGAGTCATGTGCTCATGCCTGAATCCAAAGTCCTTGAAAGCAAAATTTTATTAATATAAAGTGACAAATATCTGAGTAGGCTTCAATAGAGAGATGCTATTTGTCTTTTTGAAGCTGCTTATATTCTGGAATCATATAATCACTGATATTTTATCCAATAAAGGGGTCATAGTCCTTCTCTCCAGTACAGTATCACAGAACAAAGATTCTCTGCTTCCGTAACAATCTAATTCCATTAGTTTATACTAAGTTTCTGTAATGTCATACCTGGAGTATCATGAAAATGTCCTATCTGGTTTTTGTTCATATACTTACTCACATACACTCACACAAACATAAACATACATACTTTCTCCAGTGACAGATGAATGCTCTATGTTAAGATGTAGGAATTGATGAGTCTTGCAAGTAAAATCCATTTTTTATAATTCTTGGCTGTTTTGTTTTTAATTTTTAATTTTTTTTTGAGAGGGAGTCTTGCTCTGTCACCCAGGCTGGAGTGCAGTGGTGTGATCTTGGCTCACTGCAACCTCCACCTCCTGGGTTCAAGTGATTTTCCTGCCTCAGCCTCCCGAGTAGCTGACATTACAGGGGCTCACTACCACACCTGGCTAATTTTTGTATTTTAGTAGTGACAGAGTTTCACCATGTTGGTCAGGCTGGTCTCGAACACCTGACCTTAAATGATCTGCCCGCCTCGGCCTCCCAAGTGCTGGGAGTACAGACATGAGCCACTGCAGCTGGCAGAGATTGGCCGTTTTGAACAAGTTTGGTAGCTGTCTGGAAAGGTAGGAGATAGAGGGTCTGGAATAATTTTTCAGATTTTTTTTTTTTTTTTTGAGACAGAGTTTCGCTCTTGTTACCCAGGCTGGAGTGCAATGGCGTGATCTCGGCTCACCGCAACCTCCGCCTTCTCGGTTCAGGCAATTCTCCTGCCTCAGCCTCCTGAGTAGCTGGGATTACAGGCACGCACCACCATGCCCAGCTAATTTTTTGTATCTTTAGTAGAGACGGGGTTTCACCATGTTGACCAGGATGGTCTCGATCTCTTGACCTCGTGATCCACCCACCTCGGCCTCCCAAAGTGCTGGGATTACAGGCGTGAGCCACCGTGCCTGGCTTTTTTTTTTTTTTTTTTTTTGGGGACAGAATCTCATTCTGTCGCCCAGGCTGGAGTGCAATGGTATGATCTCCGCTCACTGCAACCTCCGCCTCCAGAGTTCAAGTGATTCTCCTGCCTCAGCCTCTTGAGTAGCTGGGATTACAGGTGGACGCCACCACCCCTGGCTATTTTTGTTCTTGTTGTTGTATTTTTAGTAGAGACAGGTTTTCACCATGTTGGTCAGGCTGGTCTTGAACTTCTGACCTCATGATCCGCCTGCCTTGGCCTCCCAAAATGCTGGGATTACAGACATGAGCCATCACACCCGGCCAATTTTTCAGATTTCTGAAGAGAAATGGAATTCCCTGGTTGGAGAGACAGTTCTGTTTAAACAGGTAAAGCGAGTGAATAGAAAGTATTTTTTTCATGAACTGAGGGACAGGCTTTCCTGGGTATTTAAAATTGATCTTCTGTGGCAGAAATGCAATGGCACATCATGATTCTGAGATGAAAGAAGAATCTCTAAGGGAAGACCTGAAGTTTTACTTCATGAGCCCTTGTGAAAAATACCAAGCCAGACGCCAGATTCCATGGAAACTGGGTTTGCAGATTTTGAAGATAGTCATGGTCACTATACAGGTAACTTATATTATTATCTCATTTGGTTTTTCCCTTACCCCCAGACGAACTCTTATCATGTGTTCTGTACTTGACTTTAGTTCTGAAAAGTTTACACTCAAGTTTATAAAACTAAAATTATATTGAATCTGGAGAGCAGAGGGTAGGTTGAAGTTCTGCTTAGAAGATGACCTTGTCTTACTAACAGATCCTGAGGTCCTCTGTGTACAGATTCTGTAAATGCCGAATAAATGTAGATCTGTGGTGAGGGGTTTCTATATCTGAGTGGCACACATTTGTGTTCTTGAAATCTCTTTATTAAACACATCTTATTCAATATACTTTCAAAATCTGTGTTTTTGTCTTCAGACTTACCAAATCCTAAGTTTTCCTTTTATCATACCAATGTGCTCTATCTAAGTAAATACTGATCCCAGGCACTATCAGGATTATACAAAAGCTGCATTTGGACCTTTTATTTGCGTTCATATTGTTGAGCTCTTTATTACTGGTATAAAAACAGCCATCAGAGTTTTCCTCTAGTTTTGGGGCTGTATTGCTGAACCAGTACTGGGGAGGCTTCTCTGCAGGTCAGGGATTCCTAACCCTGTTACACAGCAGGAGGTGAGTGTAGGCAATGGAGCAAAGCTTTACCTGTCTTTATAGCCACTCCCGATGGTTTGCATTACTGCCTGAGCTCTGCCTCCTATCAGATCAGTGGTGGCATTAGGTTCTCATAGGAGCACAAACCCAATTGTTAACTGCACATGGGAAGGATCTAAGTTGTGTGCTCCTTCTGAGAATCTAATGCCTGATGATCTGTCACTGTCTCCCACCATCCCTAGATGAGACCTTCTTGTTGCAGGAAAATAAGCTCAGGGCCCCCACTGATTCTATGTTATGGTGAGTTGTATAATTGTTTCATTATATATTATAATCTAATAACAATAGAAATAAAATGCACGACAAATGTAATGCATTTGAATCATCCTGAAACCATTAGCACCCCCCTCTCCAGTCCATGAAAAAATTGTCTTCCACTAAACCAGTCCCTGTTGCCAACAAGGTTGGGGATCACTGCTGTAGTTAACTGTATTTGAAACACATGCCCTTTTAAACTGATTTGGGGGTATTTTGCTCTACTGGCAAATAATCATTCTGTTATCAGTGTAGAAGTGTATAAAGATGTTATTTCTGGAACATAAAAATAAAAACTTAAAAAATACCTTCATGTAGTTTAGAATTGGGAGAAGATCCCTACTACCATAACTAGAGTTGCTTCTTTATTCTGTGTCATAAAGAGGCTTCTCAGTGTATGACATGCCATATGTTCCAACTCATCAAGTTTAGGGAAAGCAAGTTACTTCAAAAGAAACAACAAAGTTGAGATGCAAAGACATTTTAAAATGTGTATACTTATTATTAGCTTGTTTTCATTCTTGGATTTGAAGTTTTGATTTGGTAACCAATAAAATAGATACACTGATACATTGTTAGTATTATTTAGAAGGAGAAGAAATAATGTCCCCTTTTGTCAGTTGGTTAATTTTAATTGTTTCCTAATTTCTTTTCTTGTTAAACAAACTTCCTTCAATTATTTGATCTATTAATGTACTAAAATTCTAATTTACTCAGGCATAAAATATCATTGCCATCTCTATTAGTGTGTTCTCCCATTGCTATAAAGAACTACCTGAGACTGGGTAATTTATGAAGAAAAGAGATTTAATTGACTCACAGTTCTGTAGGCTATACAGGAAGCATGGCTGGGGAGGCCTTAGGAAAATTACAATCATGGGGGAAAGTGAAGAGGAAGCAGGTACATCTTCATATGGCGGAGCACAGGAGAGAGCAAAGGGGAAGGTGATACACACTTTTAAATAACCAGATCTCGTGATAACTCACTCATTATCATGAGAACAGCAAGGGGGATGTCTACTCCCATGATCTAGTTACCTCGTTCAACATTGGGGATTACAGTTTGACTTGAGATTTGGACAGAGACACAAATTTAAACCATATCACCATCTTTGACTTGCCTTCTTTTTCCTGATACCTTCTAAATCTTATTGATTCTTCCTTCAAAACTGCATCTATTTATGTTTTCCCACACTCACTATGTTCTCTGTAGCACAGACTCTGTAGTTAATTAAAAATAAATGGCAAGCATCTCATATTCTGGGCATTCTGTTGGGAATACAACTGTGACTGTATTACCAGTGCTGCTAACAGCTAATAGCCTGGTGTTTGCCATGTCCCAGGAACAATATATGTTTTGTGTACGTCAACGCGTTTCCTCATTACAACCCTGTGAGGTGGGTTCAATTATAATACCCTTTTTATGGATGAAGAAACTGAGCAAAGGGAGTTAAGTAATTTGCTTACATTCCTTCAATTAGTAAGCGACAGAGCTAGGATTGTGTCACTCTCCTAGAAGAAAACTTCACCTCTCTAGTTTGGAATTCAGAATTCCAATCTCTTTCAGCTTGTCTTTCCAACAAGTTTTCATCTACTATTTCTTACCCAAATCCCAGCCAGACAACCAAACCCAGTGATTCTTGTCCACATCCTGTTTGTTCCTCCAAGTCCAGAGTGATTCTTTTTCTGCCTCACCTTTCAGGTACTATTTGAAGTTCCATCTCTCCCACTGGGTCTTGCCTGACCATCCGGCACACGGTTCTCTTTGGTACATCTTCCTGTCTACATCACTAATTTTATTTTTTCTTATTTTTTCAAGATGGGGGGTCTCGCTGCGTCAGCCAGGCTGGAGTGCAGTGGCACCATCATAGCTCGAGTTTGAGCATTACTGCAACCTCGAACTCCTGGGCTCAAGAGATCTTCCCACCTCAGCCTCTTAAGCAGTTGGGACTATAGGCACATACCACTGCACCTAGCTTTTTATTTTATATTTGTAGAAATGGCATCTTGCTTTGTTGTCGGGACTGGACTTGAACTCCTGGCTTCAAACAATCTTGCCACCTTGGCCTTCCAAAGTGCTGGGATTACAGGCATGAGGTACTGTGCCTTGCCTTCTAATTTTACTTTTAATAACAAAATATTTCTGGGACCTTAGTTTACTTTTCATGTGGACATACCCTGTTTCCCCTAATAAAATTGGCAAGGATTAAACTTTTGTTTCCATATAGGATCATTCTAACAAATTTTGCTACTTGGGTGATATCTAATTAGAGCAGATGTTTTGATTACCTTTCCTTCCATAACACCTCACTTTTCTGTCCTCTTTTTCTGTCTTTTTGTGCTACATCCTCAAGTCTAATGGGATGGGTATGAGGGTTGATGAGAAAAAAATTTTTTAAAAATTTCTACTTTGCATTCTGCAGTAATTTATAATCTTGAAGGAGGTGCCTATATTATTTTGCTAGTTCTACTCTTTCTCTCCCATATACTTTGTACATAATTAGAGCAGCATCAGGTTTTTACCTGGTACAGAATATTTTATCCTACATTGATTTCATAATGAGGTTTTAAATTCACAGCCTTTGCCAGACTACACTTATAAGTAATTATTTTTCTGTCTTGTATCATACTTTCAGCACAATCTTAATGTCTAATTAGTGGGACTAGGATGCATTTTGCTGTCAACTCCTTTAAAAAAAAAAAAAACCCAGTCATTTGGCCAATACCATCATCCCTTACTCTTGCTCTGCAGGGAGTGTTTGGTTCTGTCATAGCAAGAAAGGGATTTTGCACTTTCCTCCACAGGGTGTGTCTCCTTAGGAGATGATTTGAAAATCCCAAACTTCCCCAGTACTGGGCCATACATTTTGATCTTGGCTTGTTCTGTGAATAGAATGGAGGAAATTTCTTGCTCCTGATGCCAGATAGGGGAGGTTCCAATCAGAGATTACAGTGGAGTTCTCTCTTTCCCAAAGCTGAGTTTTGATGAGCTTTGAGTTTAAATAAAGTTATGGCTTCAAATATCAGCAAACTATATATCACTTTCATGGTCAATTTGTTCATTCCCTAATTCACATTCTCTTTGTATTTCTTTAGCTTCACTATTAATGTGGGAGGAATGGGTCTAATATCCCTGCCTCTAGAGTTAAATTGGCAGCATTCAGTTTAAAAGGTTGTGGGACCAAGAGGTTGAGAGAACAAACAGACTAGAATCAAACAGACCTGGGTCCAGATCCGTACTCTAATGCTTTCTGGATATTCCAACCTGGATAAATTACTTGACTTCAGATTGCATACATATAAAATGGGATTATATTCATCAATTGATTCAGTATTTGATGTTGTGAAGGGCATTATTTCATTTCCTGAGAATATGATGGTAGGGAAAAAGGAAAAACATTCCTGTCCTTGCAGAGAGCCCTGTGTAATAGCTCCCTCACAGGGCATTGAGAATTAAGTGAAAAATAATAATTATAAATTTTAAGCACAATGCTTGGTTCTCAGCAGATAAGGGTTGTTATTCAATACCATGCAGTGTTATTCTTGCCCACATTGTACCCCAGCTTGGCTTAGAGTAAGCACCCAGCAAACTTTGATTGAAGAGCTTCATTCATGTGTGGTATGTGTACCTGTTTTTTTCATATGTGTCAGTAGTTTTAATAAAATTTTGAAACAATCATGTATGTGTTGTTTCCCTGTTGACATTTTAGCTTTCAAAGAGCAACATGACATTTTCTGGTTTCTCCTACAGGTACCATTGGCAGACATCACATGCTTAGAAGAACTTGTAACCTTCTCTTGCTTAATTTTCAGCACAAATTGGATGATGTGGGACTTCTTATCTGATGTTTTCCTTAGAATAGCTGGGTTTTAGCAGTTGCACAATCCTTTGACATGGCATTTGAGGAATGTGACATGATGAGATTCAAATGCTGAACAGTAGCATCTGTGTATATTCTCAAGTGATAGTTGCCTTTCCTAATTCTGAAAAGCTAGCACTTAAATTTTTTATAAGAAGCATCCCAAAGAACTTTTTCAGCAGAAGAAATTTGTTTTTACAGCATAACAAAGATGACTTTGGAATTAGACTTGGTTTCCATTCTGGTTAGGTAACTCAGGCAATTTAGTGAGGCTAAATCTCAGTTTCCACATATGTAAAATGGAATAACAATAGTAACATTTTCACAGACCACTTGGGGTAAATGAGACACTGCATGTAAAGCAGTTAGCACAGTACCTGGCACATAATAATTGCTGAATATGGTAGCTATTTTTCCTAATTGTTTAGTATTTTTTTAAAAGTCAGACAACATATAAAAGCAAAAAATATAAACCACTAAAAAAATCTTATGCCTATATGTTGTTTGCATATGCAAATTAATATTAGCTATTTTACTTTATTATTTTTTTTTTAGAGACAGGTCTTGCTATATTGCCAAGACTGGCCTTGAACTCCTGGGCTTAGGTGATCCTCCCACCTTTGCCTCCCAAGTAACTGGGTCTACAGCCACAGGGTACCACACCCAGCTAAATTAACCTTAGTTTTATCTGAATTGTTCAGAATTGACATCTTGTGTATTATTGTTCAGATGTATCATGTTGAACCATGGAATGACAACAAATAGCAGAACTGTCAGGGTCATCTAGTTATACCTGCTAATTTCACATAGGAAGAAAATAGTCCCAAAATTTGATGGCTTAGTTGAATAAAGACTTGGAGCAAACTTTCTAGTCTCATTGTTTTATAAGGCAGCTGAAGAGATCACTTAGGGAGATGTGTGGGATGGGGCTGATAGAGATTTGACTACCATCACTGCCTGTGCGTATATGTGAAAGAGACAGGATGCCAATGAGAGTGCATGTGTGTGAGAGAGTGTGATTGCACGCTTGTGTATGTAACAGTGGATGCATAATGGGGTATGTGGGTAGTTATGTTTCTAGTTTCCTAAGTTTTTTGTAAACTTTTGATACTGACTAATTTCTTCCCTTTGTTGGGTACCAAGAAGAAAACTTTCACTTCCAGTGAAGAGAGCTCTTGGGTTCGTAAATTCTGCCAGAATACAGTGAAAAGGAGAATAAGTGGACATGTTTTCAGGACTAGGTAGATGCTTGGTGACAATGAATGGGTTTGACATTATATAAGTAAAGCATGCTGTGTTATTCTTTCATGTGCTTTGATACTGTAGAATTTGGTGAAAATTCTTGCAGAGCTGGGTTAGTTGAATTCCTTTGATAACTATTACCTCCTAGCCAGAGTAAGTATTTATGTAGGCTACTTTCCAAAAAACACTTTTAAAAGCCTTGTACAAAACATAGTTGTGATTTTTAAAAAATACTACAATTTCTAAATTTTAAATCAATGCAATGAGTTATTGCTTTACTAAGTAATCAATTTTGAAAACAATTAATTTGAAATCTAAGTATGAGAAAAATGAATTTAGACTTAGCTGTTTGGGATTCTTTCTTTAATGAAAGGCCAGTAAGGTCACTAGTCATTGGGAGTGGTAATCTCTTCTAATTTTATGCTATTTTGAATTGCTGGTGTAGCTTGATAAGGCTATTCATCTTTAGGACTTGTATTTTGACATTGATGCTATTAGTATAAACCAAAAAAATTGATATTATTTTCTGATGTTTATAGGTAATGGTTGATGATAGTGAGACAATATTTGCTTCCCCGATAAATGGTATAATTCATGTATTTCTATTTTATTTCTTAGCTTGTTCGTTTTGGTTTAAGTAACCAGCTGGTGGTTGCTTTCAAAGAAGATAACACTGTTGCTTTTAAGCACTTGTTTTTGAAAGGATATTCTGGTACAGATGAAGATGACTACAGCTGCAGTGTATATACTCAAGAGGATGTCTATGAGAGCATTTTCTTTGCTATTAATCAGGCAAGTGTTTTTTGTGAATGATCTATATTTTAACAATGTATTGATATTTGGCTTTGTCTTAAACAAAAATTAAACATATGTTAAAATATTCTAATGTAAGTTTTGCATAGTCTGCCAAAAAGTGTATTTTGCTATTTCAGAAGCTATATTTTCACACAAAAGAGTTTTCCTATTTTGACTTTTTAAAAAAGATCTATCCTTTTAATTTATCACTTCATACCTACTGCTTTCGGAAAATTACCCTAGATCAAATAGCAAGAGTAGATTTTTAATCTCAGAAGACTTGATGAAAGCTTAATACAAAAATCAAAGATAGATTTTTAATCTCAGAAGACTTGATGAAAGCTTAATATAAAAATCAAAGATTCTAGCCTTGATGTGGTGGCTCATACCTGTAATCCCAGCACTCTGGGAGGCTGAAGTGGGTTGATCCTTTGAGTGTAGGAATTTGAGACCAGTGTGGGCAACATTGCGAACCCCATCTCTACCAAAAAATATATATATATCAGGGATTCTCTGGTCTTAATTGTGATGTTTTAGCATTAGTAACCCTAGCCGAATCTTAAGAATATGGAATACAAAATAGTTGTATCTAAACAGGTATGAGAAAGCAGATTGGTAGACTTGAAGAAATAATTTAGGAAAGAGAAAACTTTCCTGTTCTTTTTCATTCATTCAATAAATATTCAAGTATCTAATATGTAGCAGATGCTATTCCAGACATTGAGGATGCAGCAGTAAATAAAACGACAAAAAGCCTTCCTTTATAGAGCTTAATTCTAGAAGGAAGAACTAGACAAAAAGGAGTGAAATATGTAGTATCAAATGTTGGCTCCCTGAAAACACCATGCAAAAATCATGTTGATGAGCAAAGCTGAGCTTATTACTTAGAGTGGTAAGGAAGATGCTATCTTGATCAGATGCCATATTGCCTTGGGTGAGGAGGGAGTTCTTCAATGTGAGGGGAGCTTGATTAGAATTAAGTAAGGATGATAATATAATAGCTTGGGACTGGTGGACATGGCAAAGTGAAGATTGGGGAGGCAGTTTCAAAGAATCTTGGAGTTTTTTTCAGACAAAATCTTCCAACTGCTATCTATTTCAGTGAGTTTTTTGGATGTTCCTGAGATAATACAGGAACTCTTATGGTCCAGGGCAAAAGTTTTCTGGAATAGTAAAGTCATATTAATGAAGACAGGGCTACTAAAGCCCTATTAGTGCAGATAGCCAACAGTAAAACCATGTGAATGTAAGCTCAGTAGCTAATGTTTGTTCATGTTAGTCAATGATGTAGTCTGTGGAGTGTGGATGGCTCATGTCCTCAGTAGATGTTAGAAAGTAATAACTGCTAAGGAGTAAAGCAGGGAAGGAGATGGGAAGTGCCTGCATGTGGTGATGGATGTTTGTGATTTTCTTTATATGTTTTTACTGCATTTATTTTATTTTAAATTGGCAGGGCATACTTATACACATTCTATAGTTATGGGGTACCATGTGATGTTCTGATATATGTTTGCAATTTTCCTTGGCTTGGGGAAGGAAGGCCTCATTGAGGTGCAGAATTGAGAGCTGAAGGAGTGATTAAACCAAGCAGGTGTGTACATGGGTCTCCAGGCAGAGGGAACAGCCAGGGCCAGAGGCAGAAATATGTGTGGGAACTCCAGGAACTGCCTGGAGGCCAGTGCAACTTTGTGGGGTGGAGCCAAGGGACTGGAGTAGGAGATGGGACCACAGAGATAAGACAGGATCTTGGCTATGGTTTAGTGAGGTGGGAGCCGTCCGTCACCGTGTTTAGCTTCGAGCTCTGTGAGTCAGTGTCTTGTGGAACAACCTGAGAAGATTTCTTTGTAGTATTTTAAATTGGGAAGTTCTATTGAGGGCTGGGAAGTAAACAATACAAAGTAGCTAAAATACATTCTATATGCTATAACCTCTGATCAAAGTTTTAAAAGGTCATATGTGGTTTTTATTTGACTATTTTTTACTAGTATTATCATCTAAAGGACATTGCCCTGGGGACCCTTGGTTATGGAGAAAATGAAGACAATAGAATCGGCTTAAAAGTCTGTAAGCAGTGTTACAAGAAAGAGAGCATGTTTCCTTCTAATGAGACACTGAATATTGACAACGACATAGAGCTCGGTAATGCAGTGATAATTTCATGATGTACCTTTATCATCTTCTGGTAAGAGCAAAAATGCCCTCCTGTGCTAGCAACCCACATGGAGCAACTTTGCTCTGATGAGAGCTAACATGTTAGGGGCTGGCACTCTGACATTGGCCTGCAGAGGGCTTTGGCTCAGGAAACTGTGGGGTTGTGGCAATGGGACAGGGCCAGCATTTGTGGATCTCTTTGGAGCATCTCAAGATTGTTGGTTTTGGGGTAAATGCACAGGTCCTGTTTTTCAGTTAGTTTTTTTTTTTTTTTTTTCCCTATGGGGGTGATTAGGCTTTTTGAAAAAATGGTCTGTATGTGTTAAATGAAAGAATACATGCTTTGTACACTTGTTTTTATTATTTGTAAAATACAGAAATGCTCTTCAAAGGTGAATTGTGATTAATAACTCACTTTCTGTCTTAGGAGATTCCTTGGCAACAAGTTAATGGCTAATCAAGTTGAATTGTTTTGTGCTATTTTGTTAACAATTTAGAGCATACCATATGTAAATGTGAGGTGTTTGACTTAAGACTTTTTAAAAAAAATATGGTTTTATTATTTTTTTGTTTTGTTATTCACTCAACAAACTTCTGGTGTGTAATCATCATGTCCAGAGCACTCAGTTTTATTGCTGGGGTTGCAAATTAATCAGTTGTGGCTCTTCAAGCACCAACAGTTCAGGAGTAGGGGTTCTCACAGCAGTTTAAATTTGGAATGGTTTTATTAAAATTAGAGCTTCACATTGATGAGTTCATTTGATTGTACTTCCTATAATCTGATCTTAACGTGCCTTAATGACACAACAGGGGAGTACCCTATAAGACAGAGGTTTTAATTGTTTCTATAGGCTACCCACTCAGAATCTCTTGGTGAGTAAATCTGTCATGTGCTCTTGACTCTGAAAGAAGCAACCCATGAGCCGGCACCATCAAGGACATGTGTGGTATCTGGCTCCCATGGCGCTTTCAGAGACTATCCAGAGGAAAGTTGCCTGGTTCTGTAGCCAGCAACGTTGAAATGTCACTTGTCACTTGTCTTATCTCCTTGGAAGCTGCTGCTAGCCTGAGATCTATTTGGCAGTCCACCTACAGAGGCTAATCCTGTTTTAATCTTTTACCTGGGTGGTCAGCTATGCTCCTCCCTGTAGGTGATTCCAGTCAGTAACTGTGACAGGAGGACTTGTTCTATTACCCTCTGTTTCAAGTAAGCCATCTGTCCCTTGCCCTTTTAAAAATAGGTGACTCAAATTGGATGTACCACACAGTAGTTTTGCAGTGATTCATATATTGTTTTTCTCGATTCATTTTTCTTGGAAAATTTATTTTAAAAATGTGGCCAAAGTCAATCTCGGTAGCTAGATAGCACTGGTAATGCTGGAAAGCAGGATTATTTCCTGACCATTGGACAGTCTTTGCCTTGTTCATTTCTCTCAGAATATGGAATATGTTTAAGTAAATGAACAGAGGTTGGTTATTATTTGACTTTATTATTATTATTTTTGAGATGGAGTCTCACTCTGTCACCAAGCTGGAGTGCAATGGGACAATCCTGGCTCACTGCAACCTCCGCCGCCCAGGCTCAAGTGATTCTCCTGCCTGAGCCTCCCAAGTAGCTGGGACTACAGGCATGCACCACCACACCCAGCTAATTTTTATATATTTTTTAACATTAGAGACGGGGTTTCACTATGTTGGCCAGGATGGTCTCAATCTCTTCACCTCATGATCCACCCCCATCGGCCTCCCAAAGTGCTGGGATTACAGGCCTAAACCACCACACCCAGCCTAATTTGACTTTAAGAGAGATTGCTTAAATATGTTAATTGTATGCTTTGACTTACTAAATGTAACTTGTCAAAGAGAATCTTCAGACATATCTAAAATGTATAATGAAGATTCTTCTAATATATGATACTGGATTGTAGGCTCTCTTTCCTTGGATACACTGAAGGAAGCCTGCAGATATAAATGGGATTGAGTTTGACATTGTTCATTTGGCACTCTAGTTGATGTAGGTGAATTAGCAGAAGCTGTTCCAGATTAACGACTCATGACATTTGCACTATCTTTACTATTAAGGGAATCATCCCTCAGTGTTCTAAATGCAGATATCTGCCTATATGCCCAGCTTTCCAGGTGGGTTTACATTTAACTGCACAACTGATTGTGTAGATCAAATTAGTGTTTCCCTTAACTTACGCTAATGGGTATATCCCTCCTGGATCTGCCTCTAGAACTACAGCTTTCCAGGTCAGCCTCATTGGGAGGACTGTTATGAATCCTGTTAAAAAATGTTTGTTTGTTTTACAACATTTGGGTAACTAACATTTTAATATAGTGTTTCATTTTCTGTAATACGATTTTTGAATGTCTTATATTCTTCTTTTCCACATGTTCTTAACATGAGACATTATGACCATTTCATCGTTTTTCCTGCTATTTTAAGAACAGCAGGAATCTACCACCCCGGCAAAAGGATTATTTCTTTGACTGGAATATTCTGTGAGATTCATATTCATTTGAATTATGAGGCTGTTACTGTAGATTTCAGTTTATTCTGCTTGAAGTGTGATGTTTTACTTAGGGCTTTTGCTATCTTGAAAAAATACCTCAAAACTCAGTTTTGTTGCCACCAGGTGCTTGATGGCCTCCAAAGCAATGACTATAAGTGGAAGGTCAGCCAGACTTCAGAGAGTTCTGAATGAGTATTTAAACAAAGTATAACCCTGTAATTAAAGTAATACAAAATTTGAACAACCAAACCATGTAACCCTCCTAGTTATTCTTGTTTATTTTATCTTCACAGTACTTCTCACACTGTGATATTATCTTGTATATATTTTTACTTATTGTTATCTCCCCCACTAGAATGTGAGCTCCGTGAAGATGGTGACCATGTCTGTCTTGTTCATTGCTTTACCTTCAGTGCCTAGCACAGTGCCTGGCTTTCAGCAAATATTTACTGAATAAATGAATTAGTTGGGTACAGAGCCTGTGTCTTTGATGTTCTTCTGAAATGTATGCTCAGAGGTCAGCCTCCTCAGTGCACTGGCAGAACTCAGGCTCTGGAAACAAGCACAAGTAGATTTAACTTTTGGATAGCCAGTAGCTAGCTGTGAGACTGAGGAAGTTTCTTGGCCTCTCTGGGCCTTGGTTTGTGCATTTGTGAAATGGCCATAATAGTGCCTATCTCACAAGGTTTCTTTGAAGATTAAATGGGATGATGCATTAATTGAGTGAACATATAAAGTCCAGCACAGTGTCTGGTTTGGAGTTAAGTGCCCAATATGTTTTTGCCATTTTTATCATTAGTCTTTTTCTTAAAAAAAGTTTCTTTTGACCAGCTGCCCTCACTGTACTAATTAAGGTCTAGTCAGGAAGGCCAATGTTGAGTTGTTCCCTGACATTAATACTCCATCTACCAAACACAGGGAGACACACTCTCTGCAACTGTCTTTTAAAAATATGTCTACTGAGTTGCTCTGGGCCCTGTTTTTGGTTGAGGACATCTAATTTTTATTAAAAATAAGTGTATCCTGTGTATCAGGACATATTTTGAGTGCCAGGTAGATGCCAGGCCATGGCTGTTTAACAAGGTGTGACAAAACTGTGCTCTTAATTTCGGAGACCTCATACTCTAGTTGGAAGGATATAAGCAAATGAAGAGCTGCAGTTGTGGAATAACACTTTTAAATAATCAACCAATGAGTTTGCCAACATTCATGAACACCTACCAGGTGCCAGGCACTGCATAAAGCCCCAGCTTTTCCATTTCAAAGTCAGCACGGAAGGGGTTGCAAAAGCCTGGGTGAGGGCCACCCATGCTGGTTTCATACCAGTTGTGTCACTAGGTCTCTGTGGTCTTCGAAGGTGCTTGTCTTTAGAGCTCCTTGTTTTATGCCCTGTAAAACAAGGGGGTTAGCCCACACAATAATGAGACTAATTTTTTTTTTTTTTTTTTTTGAGACGGAGTTTCACTCTTGCTACCCAGGCTGGAGTGCAGTGGCGCGATCTCGGCTCACCGCAACCTCCGCCTACTGGGTTCAGGCAATTCTCCTGCCTCAGCCTCCCGAGTAGCTGGGATTACAGGCACGCACCACCACGCCCAGCTAATTTTTGTATTTTTAGTAGAGACGGGGTTTCACCATGTTGACCAGGATGGTCTCGATCTCTTGACCTCGTGATCCACCCACCTCAGCCTCCCAAAGTGCTAGGATTACAGGCGTGAGCCACTGTGCCTGGCCCTAGACTAATTTTTATGTGAGGTTCTTGGAATCATTCTTCTATCATTTACAGCTCATAATTTGTTTTTTACAAATTGAATACAACCTGTGTTCTTTTTCTATTTTTTACTTTGAAAAAGTGCCAGACTACCAGAAAAGTTACAAAATAGCACAAAGATTTCTTGTATATGCTTCATCCAGATTTCCTCAATACTAACATTTTATCACATTTGCTTGATCATTCTTTCTATGCATAAATATTTCTCCCGGAGGTACAGACATGCTGTTCCTTTGCCTCTAAATACTTCAGTGTACATTTCCCCAAAACAAGAATGTTCCCCTATACAATCACTATACAGTGCTCAAAACAATGAGTTAACATCGAGACAATACTATAATCTACAAAACCTATTCACATTTCATAAATTTTGCTGTTGTTCATAGTAAATGAAAACTGCACCCAACTCCAGGGTCCTACTCAGGATAACATCTGGCATTTAGTTGTCATGTCTTTTCAGTCTAAAATTTCTTGGTTTTCATTTGTTTAACTTTTATGATCTTGATACATTTAAAGAGTAGAATGTCTCTCACATTGGGTTTTTCTGTTTCTTCATGACTAGATTGAGGTTATACCTTTTTTGGCAGGAATACCACCCAAGTGAGTTCATGTGATTCTCAGTTCATTGTATCAGAAGGTACCTGTCTGTTTATCTCATTACTGTGATGCAACCTTGTTCACTTGGTTAGTGTGGTGTCTACCAGGTTCTCCACTGTGAGGTTACTGTCATTCTTCCTGAATAATTGGTAAGTGTTTTCTGGGGAAATACTTTGAAACTCCCTAAGTAACCTGCTTCTTGTCACACTTGTGCCCACTAGTTTTAGCACCTAATTCCTGCCTGAAACAACCATTTCTTGTTCTTTCATTGCCCTAGATTGTGTGCACTTAGACCTTCAGGCTCTCTCCAAGGACCCTCCGGACTGGAAGAACTCATCATTCTTCAGACTGGAATTTTATCGGTAAATACATTTTAAAGTGTTATTCCCGGAGGTGAGGGTGGGAGAAGGAGAATAGTATAGTAAGATTATGACAATTTATACCTTTCAATGTATTTTATTCAGGCTCTTACAGGTTGAAATCTCCTTTCATCTTAAAGGCATTGACCTACAAACAATTCATTCCCGTGAGTTACCAGACTGTTATGTCTTCCAGAATACGGCAAGTATTTTAGTTTTACTAGCCACTTCCTTTTGTTTTTCCCTACATATTTTGTTGATGCAGAGTATAAAACATACCAGGCTACAGTATGTTAAATGCAGTCGTGTTTAAAACAGATATAGTGATGCAATATGGTACTTTTTTTTTTTTTTCCGGAGACATGGTCTCGCTCTATCACTCAGGCAGGAATGCAGTGGTGCAGTTTCAGCTCACTGTCATCTCTGCCTCCCAGATTCAAATGATTCTCATCCCTCAGTCTCCCAAGTAGGTGGTATTATAGGCATATGCCACCATGCCTGGCTAATTTTTTTTTTTTTAGTAATAGTAAAGACAAGACGGGGTTTTGCCATGTTGGCCAGGCTAGCTCAAACTCCTGGCCTCAAGTGATCTGCCCTCCTTGGCCTCCCAAAACACTGGGATTACAGGCATGAGCCACCATGTCCAGCCTCATTATGGTAGTGTTGATCCAGAGACCATTACTTCTGAAGATGAAGCAAGCCCTTTTCAACTTTTAGAACTAAATTTCTACATTGAAAAGAAGAGTTTAAAAAATTGGCTTTGACTTTACTCTCCCAATACATTTTTTTAAATGTTTATGAAGGTGTTTTAAATGTCTATAGTGTTCTTCCAAGCTTCAGAGAAAGATATTTGCAAATGTTGTAGGAAATGTTTTCAAACCTTGAGGCATAAACTGCTCCACTGAAGTGAAGACCAGTTTGCAAAGGAGCAGTTGTTTCACTTTTTATTTTGGTAGGGGGTGTGTATGTTAGAAGAGACAGTTCACTTGCTCTGTCATCAGGCTGGAGTGCAGTGGCATGATCTCGGCACACCGCAACCTCTGCCTCCTGGGTTCAAGCAATGCTCCTGCCTCAGCTACCTGAGTAGCTGGGACTATAGGTGCATGCTACCACATCTAGCTAATTTTTGTATTTTTAGTAGAGATGGGGTTTCACCATGTTGGCCAGGATGGTTTTGATCTCTTGACCTTGTGATCCACCCACTTTGGCCTCCCAGAGTGCTAGGATTACAGGTGTGAGCCACCCCACCCAGCCAACAGTTCACTTTTATGGGGAGAGTAAGCTGCCTTCTCATTTTCATAGACTTTCTTTCTCTGTTTTTCTCTTCTTTCCTGTTCATTAAGGGGCTAAACTGAATGCCTAGTTGAAAGTTGTATATACTGGCATTTAGCAATTCAGAAGAGCGTTTCATTCAACTATCAATAAATACTTAATGAGTCTTAACTGTGCACCAGGCATTTTGCTATGCCCTAGCGGTACCCTCAGGAAAGCTTACAACCTAGTGGTGGAAGAAGAAAAACAAGTAAATAAAATAAAAGTAACTACAGATTGTGATATGTGATAAGGAAGAATGTCTCCAGCTGCAAGCTCTCCAGAGTGGGTTGGCTGGAGGAGAACTGAGAGCATCTGCAGGGATGAGGAGAAAGGCAGGAGAGGAGCATGGAGCTTGGTCTGCAAGGCTGAGGTCATTGATAACTTTGTCATGATATGGTCAGAAGTGTGGGTTTTAAAATATTGGCTTTTCATTTTTATTTTGTTATTTGGACTTCTATCTGCTTTGAGAAAAGCATTTTAGGGGCTCTCCTTGAGAAAACAGAGACCTTGAGTGCCAGTGCTAGTGGAGGTTTAGTCATATCTTACAGATATAGAAATGAGGATGGTATGGTTTAACTCTCAAATTTGTGGTTTGATTATGTGATCTTCTTGGGCAAACTTGGCTTTTGTTCAGAGACCAGCAGGTGCATGTAGATTTGATCACCTATATATCCGACTCTCCAAGCTCTGCCAGTGAACTTTTGGGTTTTCTTAATGTGTTCACCCTAATAAATATTTGGCCTATATCACTGATAAATTGTAAATATATTTTATTTACAGTTGATTTAAATGATTGATTTAAATTTCATAAGGTAGAAGATTGAGTGCATATGGACATCTTAAGTTTAGCCTGCAGGCTTGGAGCAATCTTTGTTCTTTCTGAAAGCATTATATGTAGCTCTGGAAACATAGAAAAATAAATTCTAGTCTAACAAAAACTAGAATTTCATAACCAAAGAACTAAATTGAAGGAAATGCTTTTAAATTCAATTCAGAATAATAAATGAGATCATTGTGTTCTTTCAAAGATTGGTGAATTTGGGTTTTTATTCCTGGGACTGGTTGTTTTGTTCTAGGATTTCTCTGAACCAGATATCTGAAATCCTGTATTTAGTAAAACTTCACATATTAGCCCTTTCAATCACATCTATTTAATTAATAACAGAAAGTTGTGAAGAAATCCTGTGATGTGAACATTTTCAGTGGTATGATTCTCTTTGTTGTCTTATTTTATGTCTTTATTTCCTTAGCCTCTAATTGTAGTTGTGTTTGTTTTTTACAATTTTGACTTAAGACCTTCATACCAGAGGACTGAGAGATTTATATAGCACCATTACAATACTGGGGTATTCTGAATTTGATTATAAATTTACCTCTACTGTTGAGTTTTATGCTTTCACATGTTTTTATGATTCTAATTATTGTTCGGTTCCAGTTTTAGTGCTCCCTCAAGCATTTCTCGAAAGGCTAGTCAACTGGTGAAAATTTCCTCAGCTTTATTTCTGAGAAAGTCTTTATTTCTTCTTCATTGCTGAAGGATAGCGTTTCTGGATATAGAATTCTTGACTGACAGTTTTTGTCTTTTTTTTTTTTTCTTTAAATCCTTTGAATATATCATCTCATTCTCTCCTGGCCTGCCTGGTTTCTGCTGAGAAATGTGCTGATAGTCTAATGGAGATTCCATTATGTATGACTCGATGTTTTTCTCTTACACCTTTTAGAATTGTCTCTGTCTTTGACTTTTGACAGTTTGATTATAATGGGACTCAGAGAGAATCTTTTTGGGGTGAATCTAACTGGGGATCTTTGAGCTTCCTGGATCTGGATGTCCATATCTCTCGCAAGACTTGAGAAGTTTTCAGCTGGGTTATTTCAAAAGACCTGTCTTCAAGTTCAGACTTTTTTTTTTTTCTTTCTGAGACAGAGTCTCAATCTATTGCCCAGGCTGGAGTGCAGTAGTGTGATCTCAGCTCACTGCAACCTCTGCCTCCTGGATTCAAGTGATTATCATGCCTCAACCTCCCCAGGAGCTGGGATTACAGGACCCTAACATCGCACCCAGCTAATTTTGTATCTTCTATTAGAGATGGGGTTTCACCATGTTAGCCAGGCTGGTCTTGAACTCCTGACCTCAAATGATCCACCTACCTTGGCCTTCCAAAGTGCTGGGATTACAGGTATGGCCATTGCACCCAGTCAAAAATTCTTTTTTCTTTGTTTGATGTAGTCTGTTGTTGAAACTCTCAATTGTAATTTTGTATTTCACTCACTGAGTTCTTCAGCTCCAAGTTTTTTGTTTGGTTCTTCTTTATGCTATGCATCTCTGCTGAATTTCTTGATCAGATAATAAATTATTTTTCTGGTTTTATTGAATTGTTTTTCTGTATTCTATTATATCTCACTGAGCTTTCTTAAGATCATTATTTTGAATTTCTTTTCAGGCATTTAATGAATATCCTTTTTTAAAGGGCCTGCTATTTGAGAATTATTGCATTCCTTTGGGTGTTGTGTTTTCTTGCCTTTTTGTGTTTCTTGTATCCCTACATTGTTATCTATGCATCTAGTGAAATAGTTGTTCTTTCCAATTTTATGGAATACTTCTCACAGGAAAATACTTTTTCCTGTAGATGGGCACTAGGATGTTGGTTGGGTATAGTGCATTGGCTTTGGTTCTGGGCAGACTCAGCAATGTGGTGTACATGCAGTTTGTTCAGTTGTAATCCTTGTCAGTGATGTCTGTGATTGGCTCAGTGGCCTAGGCTGAGAGAGTTTTTAACAACAATGGCATAGTTTTGCTGAAGATGGGGTTGCCAGACTGGTTGTCAGGCTGGACATGTGCATACATGATAAGCAGCAGGTTGTGTGGCAGACTCTTCAACTGGGTGGGGGCAATTGCTGGCTGTCAGGCCAAGTGTGCATGGTTGCGGTGGGCCAATAGGCTGTGAGGCTGGCTCTTTAGAGATGTGAGGTTGCTGCTGAACTGGCTGTCAGGCCTGTGGGGGTATGGAGAGGCAGCCAACTGTGTGGCACAATTGTGCATAAACACCGCACACCAGCCAGCTGTTTGGCAACTTCCTGCTGTGTAGTCCTGCCTGCTGTGTTCCCAGGGTCAGGGGCAGGAAGGGATTCTGGATGGATTCAGATGTCAGGGTCTCAGGTGTTCCATTAGGTCTAGGCCCTGGGCAGCCAGGGTCATGGTGTTGCAGGCACCTGCGTAAACATGGTAGAATAATGGCAGGACTTTAGGGATGGAGAGAGACAATAAGTACTGGCCCCAGCGCAGAGCAGGGCAGATCTGTTTAGTGATGTGGTTTCAAAATGGTGGGCCATAGCAGCTTAGGTCACAGAGGCGAGGAGTGCACAATGTGGGCTTCCACTCTTGGGCAGCGTGGCTGCATGAACTCCCAGCACCTCTCCAAACTGGATTGAAAGCCTGTGAGGACTGGAGGGCTCCCCTGTAGCAAGTACTGCTGGCATTCTGTGGCAGTAATGAGGATCACCAGGAGTCTCTAGCCTAACATTTTCCTATCAAAAGAGATCCCACCTGACTGTAAGCTGATCCTGGCTGGGGAGACAGTGTGGCAGAGGCAGGGTGACTTGCTCCCCTTTCTATGTTGCTGCCCTAGGCTTCCATGCTCCACAGGATTTTGCTGCTATCCTGGTGCTCTCCAGTGTACTTCTTCAGTGATTTCAGTCAAAATATAGTTGTTTATTATTTTGGTCCCTTTGTGTGTGTGTGTGTGTGTGGCGGGGGGTGCAGGAAATGAGTGTCAGGTAACTCTAGTCAGCCATTTTGCTGGCCTGTGTAATTCTCTTTGGATCAGCACACTGGATGCCAGTGATTTTTTTTTTTCAAAGCAGAGTTGATCTAACATGTTATATTTTCTTGTGTTGTAACCTCTCTATACATTTGTGTCTCCAGGTTATCTTTGACAATAAAGCTCACAGTGGCAAAATCAAAATCTATTTTGACAGTGATGCCAGAATTGAAGAATGTAAAGACTTGAACATATTTGGATCTAGTAAGTATGCTATTTACTTGCCCATGAGGATTATAGATGGCTTTTAACACTTTATTTTGGGGGTTAGGGTATTTAGTTTGTTTGCATGGGAATAGGAAGAAAACTGCATCTTGAGCATTAGATTCTGTAAAGAATATCTTAAAGCTTTGTATTTTTGTTTCATTCAGCAAACGTTTATTCTACACCTCTTAGGAGAGGCAGCGTGACTCAGTGGTTTGGAACTTAGCTCTGGAGCCAGAATGCCTGGGTTTCGGTTCCAGTTCTGTTTACTCTGCCTGTGATCTTGAACAAATTACTTAACCTATCTGTCTCAATATCTTTCTGTGTAAATGAGAGTAATAATAGTGCAGTTTGAGCATCCTAAATCAGAAAAATCTGAAATCAAAATGCTCTAAAATTTGAAACATTTGCGCACTAACATGACTGATGCTCAAAGGAAATGCTTATTGTAGCATTTTGGATTTTGAATTTTTGGATTTGGGATGCTCAACCAGTAAGTATAATACAAATATTCTAAAATCAAAAGAAATCTGAAATACTTGTGGTCCCAACCCATTCTGGATAGTGTATACTTAGCCTAAACTTACCTTCCAGGTTATTATTGAATATTAAATGAATTAGTGTATAAAGCAAAGCACTGAACACAAGAGTTGGCATATATTAATTGCTAGGCATTATGGGAAAAGGAAGAAAATGTCTTAGTGAGGAAGACTGACATGCTTATGAAATCTGTGATATGTTATGGAGAGAAATAAGTGGTATATATACAAAAAGTATGGGGAGAAAGAAAGTAAAAGTTTGAGTGGGGCAAAGAGAGAAATAAAATCTTAAATGATTCTTGGAGAAGATATGCTTTGATCTGAGCCTTGGACAGTGAGGAAGGGTCAGGGCCACCAGAGCCCAGAGAGCAACCACTGCAAATGCTGGGTCATTTACTCAGTCACTGCTTGGAAAACATCTCTTAATCCACATTTTTAAAATGGGCAACCACTGAGCATGGTGGCTAACACCTGTAACCCCAGAACTCTGGGAGGCTGAGGCGGGTGGATCACTATAGGTCAGGAGTTCAAGATCAGCCCGGTCAACATGATGAAACCCCATCTCTACTAAAAATACAAAACTTAGCCAGGCATGGTGGCACACACACCTGTAATCCCAGATACTTGGGAGGCTGAGGCAGAACTGCTTGAACCTGGGAGGCGGAGACTGCAGTGAACTGAGATCACGCCACTGCAGTTCAGCCTGGAGGACAGAGTGAGACTTTGTCTCAAAAATAAGTAAAATAGGCCGGGCACAGTGGCTCACTCCTGTAATCCCAGCACTTTGGGAGGCTGCGACGGGTGGATCATGTGAGGTCAGAAGTTTGAGACCAGCCTGGCCAGCATGGTGAAACACCATCTCTACTAAAATCACAAAAAATTAGCAGGGCATGGTAGCAGGTGCCTGTAATCCCAGCTACTTGGGAGGCTGAGGCAGAAGAATCACTTGAACCCTGGAGGCCAAGGTTGCAGTGAGCCAAAATGACGCCATTGTACTCCAGCCTGGGCAACAAAAGTGAAACTCCATTTCAAAATAAATAAATAAATAAGATACAATGGGCTACCTATGGAACCTGTTCTGTTTGCTCAGTAAACGATTGGGATGATGTAAATGATGGATGCTCAGTATTTTTTACTTTGCAAATTTTGTTTAAATGACTTTCCTTTCCTTTTGACCAGATTATCAGAATGAAATAAAATGTAAAATAACTATGGCTCCTGTTTTAGATTTGTTGTAAACTATATTTGATTTGTGGACTGCTGCTTTTCAGTTGTATAATATATCCTGATTATTTTGAAGTTTTGGTTTCAATAATTTCACCGGCTGACTTAAGCCTTCAATTACAGTTTTGGTTTCTGTTAAAAAGTGTTACTATTTCCCAGCATACACCACTTTCTTACAGACACACAGAGATCAGGGGCGTATTTTCCAAGCCCAAGTATAGGCTGCAATTTTCTGTGAAAAGAAACTAACCTTTGTCAAATATGTGATTTGGAGAATCATTATAAAGGTTAAAATGATGGAAATCTCCAAGTCAGTCAAATGCATTTCCAGAACAGGGAGTGTTTCCTTCTGCCTGCGGGGCTCTTTGCAACATAAGGGGTTTTCCTTGCTTGTGCTCAGTAGAGAGTATCTCTAGCCCCCTCCTGTGGCCAATGAGGAGAAACACAAGCCTCCTAGACCACTGGGATTTACATATTCTAGAGGTGTGTCTTAAGAAACCAGGTTCTATCACTAGGAGAATGTGAATTTAAAATAAAAATGATGTGATATGAAAGCCTTAAAAAATGGATGTTTAGAAACCATCTTAGGAAATGGACTTTTCCCCCTATGTGAAGCTGTCTGGTGGATTGAGATTGCCTTGGCTTTGGGGGACGTGGACAAGGACAAGGGTGACATCCAGTGGGATGCTTACACTATTTTTAAAATTTCAGAGACTCATTCACACCCACACGCTTACCCCGAGGCTCCTCTCTCCCTCCTCTGTCTTTACCCGTATTGAAGCAAAGTATGCAGGTAAATGTCCATTTACTCTCTTTTTTTCTTTTCTTTTCTCCTTCCTTCCTTCCTTCCTTCCTTCCTTCCTTCCTTCCTTCCTTCCCTCCCTCCCTCCCTCCCTCCCTCCCTCCCTCCCTCCCTCCCTCCTTCCTCCCTCCCTCCCTTTCTTCTTTCCTTTCTCTCTTTCTTTCTTCTTTCTCTCTTTCCCTCCCTCCCTCCCTCCCTTCCTCTCTTCCTTCTCTCCTGATGGAGTCTTGCTCTGTCCCCCAGGCTGGAGTACAGTGTTACAATCTTGGCTCACTACAACCTCAGCCTTCTGGGTTCAAGCGATTCTCCTGCCTCAGCCTCCCGAGTAGCTGGATTACAGGCACACGTCACTAAACCCGGCTAATTTTTTTTTTTTTTTTTTTTTAGTAGAGAGGGGCTTTCACTATGTTGGCCAGGCTGGTCTTGAACTCCTGACCTCATAATCTGCCCACCTTAGCCTCCCAAAGTGCTGGAATTACAGGCGTGAGCCACCGCACCCAGCCTAAATGTCCATTTTCACATACAAACCTCATGCTGCCTTTTGTGACTCCCAAGTCCCCTCTCCAAATGTGCCATGTCTTTATTTAACTTGGTTTCATAAATATAGTAGTTTGGAGATGAGGGACTTGGGGAGAAATTAGTGGGATTCCCCCTTGGTGGGATTCCCCATTGATGGGTGATATAGATGGTATTACAAGGAAAGGGTTTTAGTAAGTTTGGGAAGCTCTGAGCTAGAGTCCACAGACAGGCTACTGGTGGTGCATGTAGGACTTTTCAGGGCCTTAGAGGGGCTCAGTGGTCTGTGGGACTCCCCTAAAAATGTTGGCAGGGGCATCTTTCTGGACTAGTGTATTATAAACCCAGGTTTGGAAATGTTCCTGTGGGGTAACTTGGTTTTAGTAGAGCAAGAAAGCAATTGAGATGTTCATAAAGTACATATTTTTTAGCATACCAAACTAGTCTTCTCAGTAATTCAAAGAAAAACAGACTCCTCTACTGGATTCTGTTAGGAGGGCTGGTTTCTGTTTCTAAGCCTGTTTGTTTTCCCATCTGTAAACAAGGTCCAATACAAGCTGTCTTCGAGGTTTGTGTTCTACTTATGTGTCAGAAAGGAAGGTACTAGATGCTGTCCTTGCATTTCATAAGATTTTCAGTCTTATCTTCTCAAGAGCTGCCTCTGTATCCTCTGCCCCATTCCATGGATCCAAGAAAAAAGAAAAAATCTTGCATTATGATAGAGCTAAGTTGTTTTCTTAGTCACCCATTAGATGACACCTCAAGATAACTCTCCTGAGTGTAAAATGGCTAAAGGTAAATATAAATAACTAGGCACTGTTCTAACATGCACTTCACATGGGCTGTTCCACCTGGTTCTCATGACAGCCCCAGAAATGGATACTCTTGTCCTCCCCGTTTTGTAGCTGGGACATCTGAAGCTTAGTAAGCTGAACTCATTTGCTCAGAGACTTGCATTTACCAGCTGGCTGTCTCTGCTCACCACCCACTGTAGCAGCTGCTTTGCCCTCAGACACTCATGCCAGTGTCACTCACATCTTTGCATTATTAAATCCAAGGCATGTCTCTTCAACGCAGTCTCTGCAGAGGTGTTGCTGTGGAGGACTCCAGCTGAAGCCTCTCCTCTGAAGGTCGCCTGTCCCTGGTTCTGTTTGCTTCTCTGGCCTTTCTGCTCCATCTCATTCCTGAGCTCATCTCCTTTTCTAATTCTCAAGCATTGTTCCCCACCCCCCACTCCTGTCCTTCCCAGTGGTCTCTCTGAGAGGACATCACACCATGGCTTTAACTGCCACCGAATAGTCCTCTTTTGTCTTGAATATCCAGAGTGAACTCGGTTTACCAAAGACAGGAAACCAGGAATCCTTCTTGTTCTTCCTTATTCCCCAGGTCCAGTTAGAGACCAGGCCACTACTCTCTCCGTCTCTTGCGATTCTGTGCCTTTTCCTTTTGCTCTGCCCCAACTTAGCTCAGATCATCGTAAATTCTAACTTAGATTATTCAGTGGTCTTATGTGCTGCTTGATTCTCCTCATTTCTTTGTAAGTATGCTGAAGCATTATGCTAAGCTCAGGTTCCATATTTTGTTCAACACTACTGTCTTAGTCTGTTTTCTGTTGCTTATAACAGAATGCCTGAAACTGGCTAATTGTTATAAAGAAAAGAAATGCACTTCTTTCAGTTCTGGACCCTAAGAAGTCCGAGGTCGGAGGACCACTTCTGATGAGGACCTTCTTCCTGTTTGGGACTCTGTGAAGTCCCCAGGCAGTGCAGGGCATCACATGGTGGGTGGGTGGGTGGAGGGGCGATGAACATACTAGTTCAGTCTCTCTTCCTCCTCTTGTTCCTCCTCAAGCCATTCTCTTGATAACCCATTAATCGATAGGTGGATTAATCCATTTATAAGGGCAGAAACCTCATGACCCAATCACCTCTTAAAGGCCCTCCCTCTCAATATTGTCACATTGGGGATTAAATTTCAACATGAGTTTTGAAGGAGACAAATAACTCAAACCGTAGCAACTACTTATGGGCCCTGCTTCACAGAGCCAATCACTTGGTATGGAAGATGGACACTGAATGATAAAATAGTAACGACTGTAGGTGTCCGCTATTGTTATTTTCCTGAGCCTGTTTTAAGGGGTCTTTTCATATGAACTTGCATAATTTTCACAATAGCCCTATGATGTAGGTATTTTTTAATTCTACCCACTTTTCAGAGGAGGAAACTGTGGTGCAGGGGTTAAGCAACTTCCTCGAGGCTCTATAGCTTCTGAGTGAAGAACTGAGATTCAGAACCAGGCTGTTGGGCTCCAGAGACTGTGTTCTTTCTCATTCTAGTCTGTCTCTGTGCACGTGCTTGGCTGCCTTTGCACTTGTAATTACAAGGTCAGTGTCTGTTGTGCAGAGGAAAGTAAAGAAGCTCTGGGTGTGTGTAGTAACCAAGAATCACGAAAGCATATAGGAGGGGGCTAAGAGAGATGAGAATTTAAGGAATTCTGTTCTGAGATGGGAGATTTTTCATTTGGAACTTGAGGCTGAAAATAAATAATCTGCACAGTGTGTGTGGGAGAAGTGCTGTTCCAGGCAGATGGACCAGCATGTGCAAAGTCTCTGAGGCGAGAGCAGGAAAGTAAGAAGACCAGCGTGGCTGCAGGGTGGAGAAGGTGGGGGCCAGGCAGGAGAGAGCCGGACTGGGATCTGAGACACTATCGTGAAGTCTGAGAGAAACGAAGGTTAGTTTCATCTCCCTCCTGTACATTCCCTGTGCTGCTGTGTGCGCCAAACCAAAAATCTGATTACCACTCCCCTCCTTGCTTCCATTTCAAGAAGCAATTTTCTCTATGTACAGAGAAGGCTTGTAGAATTGGCTCTATGTCCTGGGAAAGTGCACAGTGAGGTTGAGAGGCAGAAGTGGGGATTCTGAGTGGTGGTGTTTTAATTTGTTTGTTCTCTTATTAATGGTGAACTTGATGTCTCTGCTTTTATGTGAAAGAATTCAGAGTATGTCAAGAGTTTTGCCTTTTTTTTTTTTTTAAATGGAGCCCAAATGGCTCACTTTTTGTTGAATGCTATTCTACAGTAAATGTTTATATATAAATTTGAGTGCATTTATTAGCAGTTCCCATGTTTTAAAATGTAGAGCTTTATGTCAGGGAATGTTTTGCCTTATATATAGACATCTGAATGAATGCAGTGTGATTTGTCTCTTATATTTACCATTTGTTCTAACAGTAGGCAAAACGTTTATCATTTGAACTTCTTTTCACACTTCCATTTTGTTTGGCAATTATTTTCCGGTAAGGTGTGTTTAACATTTGAATTCTGTTTTTATTCCTCAGCTCAGAAAAATGCTCAGTATGTCCTGGCGTTTGATGCATTTGTCATTGTGATTTGCTTGGCATCTCTTATTCTGTGTACAAGATCCATTTTTCTTGCTCTAAGGTTACGGAAGGTAAGAGTGTATTCACCTTCTCTTCCTGCCCTCTTGGCCCGAGCCCTCAGTTTGCCCAAGCAGCGGACCACCGATGCTGTGCCACCTGCCTCTTTTGGAGCCTTTTGACTAAATTAGATTCCTCTGAGTAGTTGCCCCTATGAGGCATTCGTCAGCCTGAGGTGTAGGAAGCAAGTAAAGGCTCTGGGTGTGTCAGGTGGGATCAGATAATTATCCTGCTTAAAACTGAGCTGATAAGTACAGACGCACAGTGGTGAACTCTCAGGCTTTTGAATGTTTCCAGAATAACGAGATCCTCTTCAATTTAGGAGTGATCTGAAGAACAGAGTAATACCATGTGTGGGTTTCATCTTTTGTCTTCAAATCAGAGTTCATTTTGACAGAGAGACATGGTAAATGGATTATAATGAAGCATAAAATACTGTATTCTGTGTTTAAAATAGTTTTAAAATTCTCCTCTGAGTTTCATTTTGCCTTTTTACCCTCAGGGCTTTTAAGAATGTATACTTCTGCTCCCTAAATATCTTATTCTGGCTTGTTTCGTGTGTGCAAATGCACACTGGGGTCAGGGGAAATTTGAAGTCCACAGAGTACCATTTGTGGAGCAGGGACATAGTCTGCATTTGACTTCGCGTAATCCTGACCTTTGTCAATGTCCTTTGTAAATATCCACCTCTCTTAAATGTTCCCCGATCGCCTTGATGTTCTGAATGCAAAGTTAAGGTCCTGTCCCTGCCAAGGTGAGGGGGCTTATATTCAGAGCATGCGCTGTGGAGCCGGCCTGCCTAGACTTGGATCCTGGCTTAGCCTCTTGGTGCCTCAGTTCCCTCCTCTGGATGATAGACCTGCCAGAACCTGGTTCATTGGGTTGTCATTGGAATGAACGTGTTGATAATATGAAGAGCATTTGGAACGTACTGTGTTCTAGTTATGACAGGAGGCTGCTGGAGTTACAGCATATGTAGTTCATGTTTGAGGGAACTTCACAGACAATTGAATGGTGACTCAGTTTACGGGGGAAAGTATGTGCTGTAACTTCCACCTTTGAGGTGGATCTGGTGAGTTGGAAATGCAATACCATGTCCTTTTACAGGTGAGAGCACAGTTTTGCACTTGCCTTCTCCTTCCGGAGGGCAGTGTGGTTTGTAAGAAATGCTTCTTTAAATGTTTGCTGTAGAGATTTCTAAATTTCTTCCTGGAGAAGTACAAGCGGCGTGTGTGTGACGCCGACCGGTGGGAGTTCATCAACGGCTGGTACGTCCTGGTGATTATCAGCGACCTGATGACAATCGTTGGCTCCATATTAAAAATGGAAATCAAAGCAAAGGTGAGGGAAGCCCATTTAAAGTCTTATTTTCTTCATCTTCTCCCAGATGGCCACAGGCATCTTAAGACGTACGATCCTTTGGAGACCACTTGATTCTCGTGTCTTCCCTTTACTCACAGCAGCACAAGTGAGACCTCTCCTGGCTTGGTTCCTCATGAAGGGAAAGTAGGAAGCCATGGAACAAAACTTGGCGACAGCTCCAGAATAGTGACTAAACCTGAGAACACTGGTTATTTGGGCCTCATTTTTCTTTTTAAGTTGCAAAAGGAGCAGCTTACCCATAAACCAGTCCCTTCCCTGAACCTGCATGCCAAGAGCCTGTGGGGAGGATTTGTGACCATTGGGTGCTCCGACAGATGCAGTGAGGGCAGGAATGTCAGCGTGCTACAGCCTGGCCCTTTGTACAACTTAGTCTATTTGATCTCCTAACTAAGCCTCGGCGACTCCTTCACCGCACTGTTTTTCTGTCCACTCTCTGCTGTTTGCCACAGGTCCCACCAGCCTTAACTCCTAACCCCAAGACACCCACTCCGCCCAACCCGGCTCCCTCTGGCTTTCTTCAGGCTTCTTCCTCTTTGGCCAACTGTGACTGCAGCCTCCTCACCTGCTTTCCCATCTTCCGTTTCATATCCCTGAGATCTGTTTACACAGGGACTTTTCTGAAAGTGTCTATCTGGCTGTTATTCTTTCTACCTCTTAGGGCCTGCTTCGGGATGAAGCGGCCTCCCTCAGCATGGCCCCTAGGGTCATCACCATCCAGCTCTGCCTCCTGCTCCAGCCTCTGCTCTAACCCTGTCCCTCTAGGAGGTCTTGTCAGCATTGTGCCTTTGTTCAGCCTTTGTCCACTGACCTGTGACGCCTCCTCCCAGCCTGTCCTGCAGCCCATCTTTGCTCTGGGGTGGAGTCTGTGGTAGCCTCTCTGTGATGAGCTAGGCATTGTGTCTTTCACTGCATTTAGCATATTATAGAAGAATCAGGTTTGCGTTTTGTCTTTTCAGCTAGCCCTAGACTTTCCTGAGAGCAGGGGCTGTGTTAGCAAATCATGTTGGAATTTTCTTTCAAAAGCAGCTGAATTTTATTGTTTGATACTTAACAGACACCATTAATTTATGTCCTCAAATGCCTAGGTCAGTGATAAATGCAATTTCTATTTCAGGGTATTATTTGGAAAAAAAATTTAGTTCAACTAATTGAAATACTAAAAGAAAATGAAAAGCACATTTGGAATTATATTCTCTGTTTTTCTTCTTTTCTTTAAAGAACTCTTACTATCACCTATAGGTAGGCAGATAGTTCTCTTTTTTATAAATTGGTTTAAAGTAAGATTAATAAGCTAAGTGGAATCAAATATTTTACTCCTTTGTCTCGTTTTCTTGTTTATTTATTTATTTTTTCATTCCTCAGAATCTCGCAAACTATGATCTGTGCAGCATTTTGCTTGGAACCTCTACGCTCTTTGTGTGGGTTGGAGTCATCAGATATTTGGGTTATTTCCAGGCATATAATGTAAGGATGTGGCACTGGGCAGTGCCACTGCACTTGAGATTCATTTATTCTTTGGGGTCTAATAGCTACTTTTCCATTTCATCTGTCCTGTTAATTCTTTTTTTTTCAGGTGCTGATTTTAACAATGCAGGCCTCACTGCCAAAAGTTCTTCGGTTTTGTGCTTGTGCTGGTATGATTTATCTGGGTTACACATTCTGTGGCTGGATTGTCTTAGGACCATACCATGACAAGGTATGTAGCACAAATTCTTCCTTCTGCACGTGGGCACATGGGACTCTTGATCATGGGTTTCTAGCACTTACTGGCTTCTTAATCTTCTCTGTCACGTACCCTTGACATCAGTAAGCACATATCTTTTTATCAGTTTTTCTTTTATTCCTTTTCAGTATATAGAAGTGACTATAGGATATTGAACCAGGAAGTGTAAAAGACTAGAAAGCATGGATTATAATTGTCTAGGGCTGGCTTAAGGGGTCACATAGCTACCCAGTGATCCTCAAATGGGAAATGTTTGGAGATGAGATCACTATATTAAAAATGAAAATTAAGTGAGGAAAATTCCTATTAAAAATTTCCAATTTAATGTATTACGTTTTTCATCCAAGTTAATTGAGAAGAATGAGGATGGGCAGAGACTGCCTAGAACAACCATTGTAGGTTTATGATTGAAATGGTGACATGTCTTGTCTCTGCAGATGGTTTTGGTTACAGCATCATCTTTGTGCCTTATTAAAGATCAATATCTGAATTCTAAACTATTACCAAACTTCAGTTAGCATTATAATCTCAGGGACATCAAAGTTATGCTAAGATGTTCTTGTTATAAAATGATACATTTGATTGGTAGATACATCAAGAAATGAAACTAGATAAGCCTTGTTTTTAACCCAAAAAAGTAGAAGGAGTTATTTCATCTTCTGGCTTTTTCTCCATGGGCCTGTGGCAGTTGGAACGATAGAAACAACAAAAATAGCAGCAGCTAACACTTCCTGCTGTGTGTTAGACACTCTGCTGGGCTTTTCTGTTTTCTTTCTTACTTACTCCCCACCACAGCCTAGGTACTGCTTTCCTCACTTAGATGCTCTGCAAGGAGAAAAGAGGTTAAAAATGGCAAGTATTGCTTCCAAGTTTGTATACCAGTACAGCCTTAAGTTTTGACCTTGTTAGTACCATTAGCCAAAGAACATATGATCAAATCTGGTTTACAAACTGTTAACAAAACTTAACTTAAACCTTAAGGTTTAAGATTAATGTATAGCTTACTCTTCTATCAGAAGGTTTAAGATTAATGTATAGCTTACCGTTTGTTATTGTATGTATAGCTTACTCTTTGTTATTAATGTATAGCTTACCCTTTGTTATTGTATGTATAGCTTACTCTTTGTTATTAATGTATAGCTTACCCTTTGTTATTATTCTGATAGCTGTCCTATCAGATTAATGCCAGGTAACCTGGCACAGTCAGACTTTCTCCTTTTCAAGTGTCACATTTAATATGTCTAGGGAGAATTACTGTTTTTCCTATTTGAGATATTATATAATTAACAAAGTGACAACCTCTGGGTTAGTAGTAAATCTTGGTAATACTATTGCTCTTCAAATTCCATGTCACTGTTTTAAAGTGACTCATGAGAAAAAATTATTCTTTGCTATGATATCTCTGATTTGGAGAACTTACTGTCAGAGCCTGGAAAAATGTATTTTTCTTCCTTACTTGCCTCATGCTCTGAAAGCTTTTCCACCTCTTTGTCACTAGAGGACAGTGTTGCACTGTGTGGAATAAATACTGTGCCTGAGGATTTGGCTTTAATTCACTGACCCCAAGGTTTCTGGACAAGTGGTCACATCTCCTTTGTACCCCACCCCCATCTCCCCTATCTCATCATTATTCTGGAAGGTGCTCAGATAAGGTTGCTCGAATTTTACTAGATGGCTGCCATTCTCAAATGCCGTCTGTTAGGCATGGTGCCCAGGATTCTTCATCTCCCTTGCTGCATTAACCCTTCCCTCCCCTTCTCTGTGAGGAAATCTGATGATTCTTTCACAGAAAATAGGTACCTTAATATATTAAATAATATTCCTGAGATTACCCAGCTAGAAAATGGCAGAGATGGGATTCAAACCCAGGTCAGCCTGACTCCAGTACCTGTGCTTTGACCCATACTCTGTAAGGCTTTTCTTGGTATTATCTAAAACAGATAATCTAAAACAGGGGAGCATTTAGTCTGACAAGAAACAGGCTTGTACTTGGAGATCAACCGTGATTGGACAGCCATGTAGTCAGTCTCATTCTCTCAATGATGTCAAGGTCACCTCGTGGAAAATGAGGTTACTTGTTTTGTGAGCCTGACTGCATTACCATATGTTCAATTTTGTCCTTTCAAAGGATCCAGGTGAAATTGGGATCTTCTGAAGCAGCACTGTCCAAGAAAAATGCAATTTGGGCTATAACTGAGAGCCTTGCCTATACTGTAAAATTTTCTAGTATCCACATTAAGAAATAAAAAACTGATGAAATTAATTTCAATGATATATTTTAAGCCTAATATACGTAAAATATTATTCCAGCATGTATTCATTATAAAATATTGAAATATTTTACATTCCTTCATACCAGTCTTTTTGATCTGGTGGATGTTTTATCCTCATGGCACATCTTAATTTGGACTAGCTACCTATTGGATGCTGGCTGGCCACACGTGGCTGGTGACTACCATTATGGACATTGCAGCTCTAGACTTATGTCTGTCGCTTAAAATCAGCTTTCCCTTTACCCCCTCCCCCACGGAGGAGTGGAGGGATAGGGGATATCTGTAGGATTGCCCGTAGGTCTGTTTACGGCATCTCTCACCAGGCTGATATATTGGGGAAATGCACAGTTGAGTTAATTCACCGGATGTACAAGTCAGGGGACAGAAAGAAAATGTTAGTCTGGTTTTGGAATTTTGTGTTTTTCTTCTCCATATTGCTGCCTCTTTGAATCTGAAGTTAGAATATTTTATTGCCCCTTGCATCCTTACCCCCAAATTAATCCAAGCTGTCAGCATGTTCAGGCTCTGCCAGTGTCTGAATCAGAGGACTTTCAGGATTACCTGAAGCCTTGAAAAGCTGAGCATTCCAAGCAGGCATTTTTGTAGGATTTTTAGAATCACAGCAATCTTGATTATGAAAGCTAATTGTTTCTTTAAAACAAAACAGCTAAAAAGGGACATCAGGAAGACTGTAATTCTATACTACTGTTTGACTGACAGCTGGAGTCTCATAACACTTCAGCTTCCTGTCTTCCTGTTAGGCATCTGATTTCAGGGGCTCAACAGTAAGGGAGTCAAGATACAAAAAGTATCCTGCTGATGTGTGTTCCCAGCACTAATGGACTTTGGCACAATGCCCTTTCAAAATGTCTGGACACCAAGGGCAAGAGACAGACTGTTAATGTTCTTCCAAACCAAATCTTGAATTATTAAACATTACTCTAATGTGGCTTTTACATTTCCAGAGGACTTTTTTGGTCTATGAGGAATAACTCATAGCCTTGCTTTGTCCCCATTTTACAAATGAGAAGACCAAGGCTTGAAAAATTGTTGAACTTTGCTGATGTCATGGGTCAAAGTTCAGCAGACTCTGCATTACATTTTCCTCCTTCCAAGGCCTCTAGTTTTAGCCAAGTACCTCTCATTCAAAAGAACCATTAGCCAGCTAAAACATTTTGCCTAAAGTTTGCATGAGATTCTTGGCATCAGCTATTAAAGCAAATATTTATGTCATTCTCTGACCTAAACCATTGCAGCTTATGTTTTCATTGATATGAAACGTTTTTGGCCCAACTGCAGAATTACCATTTCTGAAATGAATGGTTGGGTTCTCGCTGTGGTCCCAGAGAACCTATGGGGACTGTTTATGGAAATAGCCATTTAATATGTATTAAATGTCTGCTGTGCACCCAACATTGCTAGGTTCTTGTAGACCAAGTTCTTGGAGGGCAGGAACTATGGCTTGTTTCTCTTTACATTCCCAATCTCCAGATTAGTACACAGACCATGGCAGGTACCCAACAAGTCTGTTGAACAAACAAAAAGCAATGAAAGAAAGAGAGAGAGAGAGAGAGAGAGAGAGAGAGAGAGAGAAAGAGAGAGAGAGAGAGAGAGAGAGTGTGTGTGTGTGTGTGTGTATGTGTGTGTGTAATACCTGCTTTCCAGGGGCTGTGGTCTCTCAAAAACCAAAGGAATGCCCTACAAATGTGGTCCTTCTAGACTGGAAGCACATTAGGACCTCAAGTATTTTTAAGCTCAATTCTACTATGGCATTTGGCCACTGAAACGGACTCTGGTTCACAGCCACTTCTTGTACAAAATAGCAGGGTGTTACCAAACACCTAAAATTGACTGGGTCTCCGTTTTAACTCTTTGCTGTGTTAAAATAATTCTCATGTTTACAAGAGGAGGAGGAGATAAAATGGTTATGAATAATGTTAACGTTGAGACAGATACTGTGTCTAGCCTGATAAGTAACTAAACAGAAAATTAAGAAATGAATATGATGTGTACTGACCAACTAGCTATTTGCAGTTGAAACCTGAAGCACAGACAGTTGTGCTTGGAGCTCTTGCAACTAGGGAAAGGAGTTGACTGGATTCCAAAAGAAACTGAGAAATATGAATTATTAATGGTGCTGTCAGAGTTGTAATTGACATCCATAGAAACCAACTTCAGTGTCAATGTTTTAAGCTTTAACTTCAATGTTTCGAGGCTAGTGTAGGGTATGGAAAATATTTACTCTGGCAACCCCCGTTTTGCTGTTAAACAATCTAATATTGTTAAGTGATTTGTTCAACTGGATATTTCCTCTAGGTCTTTATGGAGAAGGACTTGAGTTCTTCATAGTTTTTGCTGATGCAGCAAAGCCATGAGTGGGATCCTTGTTTGGGGTGCATTTGTGGACCCTCTCCCTTGGTCACCAATTCGGCTTGCCTCGTCCAACCACGTGGCTTGGCTGGTAGTGTAAGGCATGATATTTGTATCTAGTTGCAGGACAGGGAAGTGTGCGTAAAAATAATTAGAAGACCATCCATAGTTCATTGTATGATTCTTACCGATACGGAGTGCAGAGAAAGGACTAGAGATGCCAGGGCACTCTGTCTTGAAGTACACTCTGAATTAATTCTTGAACATTGGCTTAACTGGACACAGAGAAGAGAAGGTTACAGCAGGAGAGGAGAATAAATTCCATGAGGGAAAAATGTAGGGATGGGCCTGGTGTTGGAGCAGAAAGCACAGCGTGTTAATATTGACAAGGAGGAGGCCGGACACGGTGGCTCATGCCTGTAATCCCAGCACTTTGGGAGGCTGAGGCAGGCAGATCACAATGTCGGGAGCTCGAGACCAACCTGGCCAACACAGTGAAACCCTGTCTTTACTAAAAATACAAAAATTAGCTGGATGTGGTGGGCGCCTACAGTCCCAGCTACTCAGAAGGCTGAGCAGGAGAATCACTTGAACCTTGGAGGCAGAGGTTGCAGTGAGCCAAGACCATACCATTGCACTCCAGCCTGGGTGACAGAGTGAGACTTGGTCTCATAAAAAAAGAAAAATTGACAAGGAGGAGATGTGATGAGGCTGCATGAAGGAGGAACTTACCACAACCTTCTTAGTTTGGACTTTTATTTTGCATCCAGACTTTGTATAATCTCACAAGGGAGAAATGACCTGAAAGCCATCTTCTTCAAGTACAGGTTTTCCTGCAGCTTCGACTAGGGAGAGTGAAGAGATTAGAGTAAAAGAGACTTCCTTGGGAGTTTCTGTAATAATTCAGAAATTCATGCTGACATCACAGTAGAGTAGAAAGGGTGGATTGGAGAAACATGTGATAGGAACGGACAGGCCTTAGAAGACTGAAAGGAAGAAGAGTAATCAGTTCAACACAGAGTTCTAAGGACTTAATTATTTCGGACTGGTTCTTCGGTGGGAGATTGGAATCACTGACAGAAAGAGGGCAATTTAGAAAAAAAGCTCATTTTTCTGGTTAGGGTGGTGGAAAGTTTTGTTGGCATTTCCAAGGAATGGTCTGTCATATAACAAATGTCAGCTGGGCGCCATGGCTCATGCCTGTAATCCAAGCATTTTGGGAGGCTGAGGCAGGCGGATCACCTGAGGCCAAGAGTTTGAGACCAGCCTGGCCAACATGGTGAAACCCTATCTCTATTAAAATACAAAAATTTGCCGGGCTTGGTGGCACACACCTGTAGTCCCATCTATTTGGGAGGCTGAGGTATGAGAATCACTTGAACACCAGAGGCAGAGGTTGAAGTGACCTGGGATTGCACTGCACTCCAGACTGGGCAGCAGAGTGAGACTCCATCTCAAAAAAATAAAATAAAACAAAAACCCCCACAAATGCTCTCTAAGTATAGAAAACATAAGAAGATGCTTATGTTAATTAGCAGAAAAACTGGGATCTAAATTATTAGATGATATGACCACAAATACATCGGGGAAAACAGGGAATTGTCGAGATTAACTTTGAGAGTATAGAGAGGGGGTGTGTGTGTGTGTGTGTGTGTGTGTGTGTGTGTGTGTGTTTTAAAGAGACAGGGTCTTGCTCTGTCCCCCAGGCTGCAGTGTAGTAGCACAACCTTGGCTCACTGCACCCTGAACCTCCTGGACTAGAGATCCTCCCACCCCAGCCTCCCAAATAGCTGGGACTACAGGCGCACCACCATGCCCAGATGATTTTTGTATTTTTTGTAGAGATCGGATCTTGGAATCTTGCCCAGGCTGGTCTCAAACTCCTGGGTTCAAGTGATCCTCCAACCTTGGCCTCCCAAAGTGCTGGGATTATAGGCATGAGCCACTGTGCCTGGCCTACAGGGGATTTTTGAATAATGTTTTCCTACTTCTTATGGTGTTCTAGCATCTTAAAATAAATAAGTTACCGCTACTACAAATGACAATGTTAAAAAACAATGTTAACAAAACAAGCTAACTGGATACCTTCGGCTTTTTAGAATATTCTATTTCAGAACCTAATTTTTATTTCTTCCCACAGTTTGAAAATCTGAACACTGTTGCTGAGTGTCTGTTTTCTCTGGTCAATGGTGATGACATGTTTGCAACCTTTGCCCAAATCCAGCAGAAGAGCATCTTGGTGTGGCTGTTCAGTCGTCTGTATTTATATTCCTTTATCAGCCTTTTTATATATATGATTCTCAGCCTTTTTATTGCACTTATTACAGATTCTTATGACACCATTAAGGTAAGTAATTATCAATATTTGCTGCCAAAAAAATCACTGCAAATTCTGTATAGATCATAGAAAAATACAATATTTTAAAAACATACTTAAAATATTACAGTTCAGATTTTGAGGCAGACTTTTTAAAGACTGGAGATGACTTTTAGGACATTGTCCCTGTTACCCACAGCAGGGTGGATTGGTTTGGAGGGGTGGTGGGAAGCAGAATGGAAATGGGGTAAGGATGGGTGGAATGGGGTGAGTCAGGTAGTCGGGCTGCTGGTCTCAGCCCTGACAGATAAACCTGCCAGTGTGGCTACCTGAAACTTAGGATAGAGTCATAAGTGTCAGGGATGAGAGGAGACTGGCACCCTGACAACTCTCAGATATTGCTACAACTCACACTGCATGATATGGCTACTGTCATGGCACAGGTTTCCTTTAAATTTTAAAAACTAAGGCTTTTGTGACTGTTTAGCTTCTCCCTCCCCTCCCCTCCCCTTCCGTTCCCTTCCCCTCCCTTCCCTTTCCTTTTTTGGAGTCTCACTCTGTTGCCCAGGCTGGAGTGCAATGGCACGATCTCTGCTCACTGCAACCTCTGCTTCCCAGGTTCAAGCGATCCTCCTGCCTCAGCCTCCTGAGTAGCTGGGATTACAGATGTCAGCCACCATGCCCAGCTCTTTTTT